TCGGCCCTGGTGTTAAGAGAGCAAAAGTGGCTGCAGGCAATACGTGGACAAAGCAGCATGGCTATGAATGAGCAAATTTTATCTATAAAAACAAGGGGCAATGGAGGGTTCCTTTTGCCCCCCAGTCTGACCAGCATGTTATTGGTTGATTTCTTGATAACAGCCATTCTTTCTGGGGTGGGCTGGAATCTTGTTTTAATTTGCATTTCTTGAATGACCAACGATGTTGAACATTTCTTTATATATTTATTTGCCATTTGTATTTCTTTGTCTGAGAACTGTATATTCATCTCAGATGCCCATTTTTTGATTGGATCTTTGAATTTGGGGGCCTGAGTTTTACAATTTTATATGTTTTAGATATAAGTCCTTTGTCCCTTTGAGGGACAGTTGGATAAATGTTTTTCCCCCAATTCACGAGTTTTCTTTTTACTCTGGTGGTAATTTTTCTTTTTGATGTGCCAAAGCTTTTCAGCAAGATGATGTCCCAGTTGTTGGCTTCTGCACTGTTGGTGGGCGTGTAGACCAGCACCATCACTGTGGAAATCGGTGTGGAGAGTCCTCGAAACATTAAGAATGGAGGTCCCATCAGCTACCCTCCTTCTGGGCATTTTCCAAGAAGAGTGTAAAGCACCATACCACAGTGATGTATGTGCACCTATGGTTATAGCAGTCTAATTTATAATAGCTAAATCCTAGAAATGACCCAAATGCCCATCAACTGAGAAATGGATAAAAAAGATATGGTATTTTAATACAATGGAATATTGCTCAGCTACAAAGAAAGATAAACTCAAGGCCTTTATATGTCAATGCACGCAACTAGAGACCATACTCGTAAATGAAATAAATCAGACCCGCGTGTGTAAGCAGCATATTGCCTCCCGGGTGTAAGAAAGGGAAAGAGTAAATAAAATGCAAGAGGTGTGATAGATAGTGTGAGAGGGAAAGAAACTGCTCAGAAGGAAGGAACTAGCGTTGGGGAGAGGAGAAAGGAAGGAGGAAGGAACACACACACACACACACACACACACACACACACTAGCTAAGATAACTGTACTTCTACTTTCTACTGGTCTATTGAAAGGAACTGTTAATGCTTATTTATTTGTTGACCAATTTTGCACGATTATATCTGGCAATCTGAACAACTCCTTTGAAAATAACTATGCCATCTAACAACCATTGTTAATTTCCTATTCTTGCTGTGAAATTTTGTCATTTTTTAAAAAAATTCTCTTTAAAAAAGAAAAAGAAAGTGGGACCTGCTCTGACTTCTGCAGTGCAGCTCCCCAGTGACTATTCCGTGTGGGGGACACCACCGTGGACACCCAGCGTATGCAGCCCCACTCACTGGCCACACCAGACCGTTCCCCTGTATGAACATAGGTTAAAGTTTGTCTGTGTTCAAAAGAGATCAGACAGATCATTTTTCTCTAAAGTGTTACACTCTAAAAATATTTTATGGGCCAAATAATACGCTGTGGCCCAGAATTAGCTAAGAATCATTTTGAATGTCTGCTTTAGAAACCATACAATAGGCTGTGCTGGATTGCCAACAGGTGGTCAACTTGCTACACCCGGCTGGATTAAGCTAGCACGGTGGGGTGCGGGGTGCGGGAGGCCCACCTGAGGGCTGTTGCCAGCAGCCTAAAGGCAGAGCAGAAGCAGCTGCTGAGCACTGTTAGGGATGCTGTCTGGAGGAGTGTTGGAGCTGCTGGTTCTCTTGGCTGCTCTGCTCAGGACCTGGTCATGCTGGCTTTCCTGATGAACTTGGGAGAAGCTTGGGTCCGCATGTTGAGCATTAATTCCTGCCTCCGGAGGGGCAGATGGTGTACTGCTCAGCTTCATGAAGCTTGTCGATTGCCTTTCCTGCTGGGAACTCGGCTTTCCTCACTGCCGGAGGAGCTCGGGACCTCACTGTTGCTAACTAAGGACAGCTGTGGTACTTTGGGGGCAGCTCTGGTGCTTACCTTAAGTGTTGCTTCCTAGCTCCAGTGCAGACCCCTCAGCCTGCTGGCGGAGATCCTTCATCCCACTGGCACAGACTTCCTAGCTTCCGCCACTGACCTCTGGGCCTTCCCAGCACAGATCCATGAAGCGGACCTGCATGAGACTGTTGTGGGCTCTGGACCTCCAGTTGGACTGGTGGGAGGCGCTGCTATGAGCTCTAGCGCCTCCACTGGATTCGTTAGTATTTAGTGTGTGGGTAGACTTCCTTCACTTGTAGTATGTGATTCGTGGGTGATTCATTATAAAATACCATTATAAAATGTGTCCCGTACTATATTGTTCACCTTGCAAAAAAACCCCAAACTATAGCATAGGCTTTATTAGGTGCGTGCTTTTACCAGTGAATTCTTTAAAAAAAAATCTAGGGGCTATTATTATATCCATTTTATGGAGGAGGACATTGCACCTGAGTCTCCCCAGGTCACACAGCTGACAAGCTGTGCGCTGGGTTCAGGCCGGGCCAGCAGTTGTTCTGCCTGAGTGTAATTTTCAGTAACCACAGGCTGCACTTCGGAAGGACAAGTGGGACCTTCTGCCGTGGGAACTATCAGAATCTATGCCCTGGGCTCCGCTCCCTGAGGCCTCCCGGCCTGTGGCTGCAGCTGGTTGTAACGCCTCTCCGCTGCTTAGGCCCAACCGGTCATGCATCTGAGCGCAGCTAACACCGTCAGCAAGCAGCTAGATAAAGTGTAGGAGCCCGACTGCGGCCCAGGAAAGAACAGCTACTGATCCATAAAGCAGCTGGACTGAGTTTTGAAATGATCGTACTGTGCAAGAGAAGCCAGACCAAATAGAATACCGCTATGGCTTGTGTCTAGCTGTCCCCCCAAAGCCTCATGCAGTTACGGGTGGGCGTCTAGCGTTCGCGATTAACTCATGATCCAATGCTGGGGTTATGGGTGTGAGTGCTGCACCTGCCTGGGGCAGACAGCCTGAATACCATGTACGGGAGAGAGGCTTGCTAGCTCCTCCCTTGGCTCTTTGCTGTTTTCCACCACCATGAATGGCTGCCCTCTGCCATGTTCCACTCTGCTTTAGAACCAGCTGAGTATGGACTGAAACCACCATAAACTGTGAGGTAAATAAACCTTTCCTGCCTTGATTTTGGGTTTTGAATATTTTGTTCCAGCCAAGAGAGAAAAGTAATGGAGACAAAAATATACTGTGTGTGAAATTCTAGAAGAACTACATGCATCTCAAATGACAGGAGCCCTACCATGGTTGCCTGAGGTCAGGGTGGCTGATGGAGACCATCACGAAGTGGCTCTGAGCAGGATTTACATTAACTAACTGGCCTTTTACGCTGACTTGTGTCCAAGGCCCAGGCCCCTTGCCTGGAGATGGGCCCCGGACTCACAGTAAGTGAACCTCTACGGGTCGCTGGTCCCCACTGAGGCCTGCGGTGGCCTGTGAAGCTGTGAGGCCTCAAGAGACATGACAAGGCCACAGCTGAGGACAAGGACAAGCTGAGGATACTGGGCCAGTAAGGGCTGAAGCTGCAGGCGCCTCCCTCCTTCAGTGGAGGCCTTCCTGGAGATAGCATAGCTTTCCTAAGTGAACATAATGTATTACTTGGAGAAGTCCTTGGGTGGCCTTCCAAGGGCCCTCAACGGTCCTGCTCAGCCTCCCGCCTCCCTTCAGTATTCCATTCCTTTGTTTGATAACCAAATAAATACAGGCTGCCCAGAGAAGATCTCTGTCTTAGCCCCAGTGAATTTCAAATTCCATCAGAGGGTTCTGATCCTCCTGGAGCCCTAATATCAAGCCCCTTGACTTTTATTTACGACCTCGTCGTACGCTGGCTTGGGAGATTCCAGATCTCATCAGTCCGCAGTAACTGAGGGATGACAGCAATGTGTCAGGTAGCAATGCGTCTCTGCAAGCGAGGGCCAGGAATGAGGATCTCAAGGGGAAGCGGAAATTTGGGGAGTGACGGGTATGTCTATAGTCTTGATTATGGCAGTGGTTTCGTGGTTGTGTACGTAAGTCAAAACTTGAATTGTAAACTTTATATATGTTCAGTTTATTATATCTCAATTAAGCTGTATTTATTTATTTATTGAGACAGGGTCTCACTTTATATTATAGGCTGGCCTTGAACTCGCTATGTAATCCAAACTGGCCAGGGACTCACAGTGACCCTCCTGTGTCAGTCTCCTGAGTCCTGGGATTACAGGTGTGCACCCCTCCACCCAGAAATTAAGGTGTATTTAAAACTCTACAAAAGCTAAATGTGGTTCTCTGAACACAGATTCTTGAATTTTTTTTTATAAGAAATGCCAGTATATTAAGAGTGTCTTCAGGGGGCTGGGGAGATAGCTCGGTAGAATAAGTGCTTGCCTGGCAAGCGCAGGGTCCTGAGTTCAATCCCTAGTACTGCAGGAAAAAAAAAAAAAAAAGAAAAGGTGTCTTAGGTGTCTTCAGTTTTTCCTGGAATGCTGCATACTTTCCCTCAACAAATTGAATTTCTCCCAAAGAATTTCTATCACACAGTGAAAGTGGATGTAGCCCCGAGGTTGCCACGGAAATGACCCAGCGCGGACGAGAGCGTGCCTGACCTACAGATATCGCTGTGAAGCTGGCAAATGCGGCGTCAGGTTCCTCTCTCTGAACGTATAACTGTCCTTTTTTTTTTCCCTCGGAACATATAATCGTTCTAATGTGTCCCAAAACAATGACTGCAACATTGTTTTTTCAACATTAGTAGAAAACCTAATAATTCAAAAGTATCATTTCTCTTAGGAAAAATAGACCTTTCGTAAGGAAATCTTTATAAAGCTAGAAAGACAATAACGTAATCCTCGTATAGTTTTGTACTGCCAAATCTCATGCCTGAGTGTAACGACTGTAGTGAGCTTGTGATTAGGGTCTGCACGCTTTCCATTTTCTAGTTCCAGATTTGCACACACATTTCCTGCCACAGAAACGCAGAGGACAGCAATGAAATGGGACGAGCGAGAGGAGCTCTGCAGGAGGCCGAAACTCACCAGAGGGCCAGCTCGAACTCCGGCAGCGAGGAGTAGCTAGCCAGGTAGGTGCCGCAGTAACTGAACGAAAGTAAGGTGTAGTCCAGGAGGACGTTGCCTGAAACACAAAAGCCAGCACACGGGTCTGATTACTGTGCTCTGGTTCTTTACACTGCCACAGTTTATTTCCCTTGGGTGGTGATTTTTACATAATTCTAAAATATTTATCTATTAGAATAAAAGATCTCCTATTGAAAAAAAAAAAGATCTCCTGGATGACTTCTAACACTGTGGACAGGAGACTATGTTAAAAGCAGAGCTACGGGTCACTTTAAAAGATATGGAGTGAAGTAACACCACTCGGGCACTATCTCTAAACTCCCATGCAGAACTGAGAATACTGGGGCCGGGGAGATGGCTCAGTAGAATAAGCGCTTGCCTGGCAAGCGCAAGGTCCTGAGTTCAATCCCCGGTTCTGCAAAAAAGCCCCCCAAAAACTGGGCATACTGTGCCATACATTTCCCAACATGATGTGAAATGACCCCAAACCATAGAGTATCTCATATCTCATCAATAGATGAGCAAGTATAATTAGAATACTCACGCAAGCTTTGCCTCGAGGAACTGCAATTATTCTAGCGTATTTCTTTATTCTCTTATTAAGCCACATTCAACTTTCAGATTAATAGTGTCCAACTCTTAGAACTATAAAAAGTTGTATTATCATTTGTACTCCAAGTTGATGAAATGCAACTTGATTTTATTTACTTATTTATTTTTTGTGTAGTACTGGGGACTGAACTCAGGACCTTGTGCTTGGCAGGCAGGAGCTTACGCCACTGAGCCATCTCCCCAGCCCTGCAACTCGATTTTAAAAACCAACCTTGCAACAAGATCTTTAAAATATGCATACAGAGCGCTGGGGATGTAGCTCAGTGGTAAAGTGCTTGCCTGTCAGCCTGTGGCCCTGGGCTCAATTCCTAGGAAAGAAAGAGGCGCGGGGGTCGGGGGTGAGATGACAAGAAAAACAAAGCATCCTGGGGCTTTAAAGCAGGGCAGTGCCTGGCCCTCCTCCAGGTTGGGGCTGGTTTCTCTCCCCTGGATCAGCTCTTCTGGGGCTGCTTCTGCAGGACTGCACCTGCCCTCACCTAGGTCTGCCTTTCTAGCCGTGTCTCTGTGGCTTCTTTGTCACTCTTAACTGCTCTTTCCTGCTTTTACTTGACCATAATATAATCTCAAAATGTGATTTTTCTCATATTTAAAGTAATCTAATCAACAAAACCACATACATTTAAAATAATTTTTTTAGGGCTGGCGAGATAGCGCAGTGGACTTAGCACCTGCTTTGGCAAGTGCAGGGACCAGGGCTTGATTCCTGGTCGTGCATGCCGTGCAGGCCCAGCCCCCGGGTTGCACTGAGCCAGTGATTGGGCATGGAGGCGCACGCCTGCAATCCCGGCACTGGGGAGGCTGAGAGCAGGAGGATCACTACGAGTCTGAGCTGTCTAGTGAGACCCTGTACCAAATACATAACTGAATAAATAAAATAAATTTTTGTATGAGGCCTTAATACAATGATTTTCCTTGCTACCCAGTTATTCCTCCTGTATTTACATATTATTAAGCTTATCTATTTTTATATTTAAAATGTTTTTTAAAGAAAATATTTTTAAAGCTTAGGGGGAAAAAATGCCCTTTGTGATTCTACTGGCAAACTTGGCATGTCCTCCCGGCATTTTCTTCCTGTGTTTCTTTGTAAAAATGTACTTACAAATATATTTTCTTAAAGAGTAGCCTGCATTTCATAGCTATGCAAGGACAAGTTCTTGTCCTTATGAGACATTTGTGGGGTTTTTTTTTAATAGTTTCATAAATACTCTGAAAATACTTGGTTATATTTGTTCTGAATATTTCCCTCAGTTTGATACTTGTTTTTTAACTTTTCATGCTCATAAGTCTTAAAATTGCATGTAATTAAATACATCAGTCTTTTAATTTTGGGGTATAGAATGTTCTTCCCTATCCTGAAATCATTTTAATATTCTATCCTATTTTCTTCTGCTTTTCAAGTGTGTCTGTTTATGTTTAATGGTTATTTCTGTGTGACATATGGTTTGATGTGTGGGGTAATGTGAGTTTCTGACCAGATACTTGTGTTCAGCTGCTGGGTTCTCCTAACATCACTGCTGAGTAATCGGTACCTCGTGGGGGAATTTCTCTCATGACACACTCCCTTGGACGATCCTGTCATCTCCGGCCCCTCCACTGACTGGGAATTCGCCAAAGTCACCCATGCCACCTGTCCAGTCACCACAGCACACGACATCCTGAAGAGCCCCTGCCTTGCCACTGTCCTCTTTCAAATTTTACTTTTTCCCAAATGAACGTTGTAATCCTTGCTCGCGCTCTAAATAGGACAAGCCCATGATGAATATAAGAAACGTTAGAAGTCATACTATTCTTTGTAATAAGCAGGCTTCTCGTTCAGGAATACGTTGCTATGGAGCCTAATAGCTTACATCAGCGCTTTTGTTATTTTCCTCATCCAGGTCACTCGTGTGTCTTGGATTGTTTCCAAGTATCTGAATTCTCTGCCTGCAAGGGTATTTATTTTGAAACCGGCATCTTCTTGAGCACGCTGTTGTTAGTGCACTAGGCTACTGCACTGCCCATAATTTCCTGGCCTAGTTCAATGATTTTTTTTTTATTTTGTTGCAGCAGTTAGAACTTTGAGGTTGATATTAAATAGCGGTGGTAAAGCCAAGCATCTTCAACAGTTTATTATCAATGTTAATGTTCGTTCTTTCAGGGTTTTGATATTCAGTGAGGATATTGGCTCATGGTTTGTATTAATCTACACAGACAAGAACCAATAACTAAGTCTTAGAGGTTTTAACAAGGATAATTATAGTCCACATAGTTCCCACTGTACAAAGGGGTTGTGTTTTATAAACTGCCTTAACCTGTTTATGTATCTTTTTTTTTTTTTTGCGGAACAGGGGATTGAACTCAGGCCCTTGTGCTTGCCAGGGAAGCACTTACTCCACTGAGCCATCTCCCCAGCCCCTTAACCTGTTTAGAATAAAGACAAATCTCCCCACAAATAAGCTACTGCAGATGGCCACGCTTCCTCACTTCACCCAGACCCTTTATGGGATCCACAACCAAGAACTAAGACCAGCCCCAGGCAAGAGCTTCCCCTCCCTGGAGCGTCAGGCAGAGGTCCCAGAAGATGTGCAGCAGCCCATTCGGTGTCAGCCACACCCATGAACTCATCCACAGTATTCAGATGGCGACCTGGACCACTGGGGTGTGCATGTGTGTGCGCGCGTGTGCGTGTGTGTGCGCGCGTGCATGTGTCTGCCTCTGTGTGCATATCCATGTCATTACCACAGCCTACCATTAGATCTACCTTTATCCCCATTTTAAGGGTTAGAAAACTGAGGCTCAGGGGCTTTGTCTTCACAAGTTATTAAAACACCAATTCACCTGGATTTTCAATAAATCATTAGGAAAGAAAACATTGCTCTGAAAAAGGACAGTCTTCTGGCCCCGTGCTTCTCAGAGTTTAATGTGCACAGGAGTCCACACAATCACCCTGAAAAGCCTGTTGAAATGGAGCCTCTGGCTGGGGGTCTGCGGCGGGGCATCTGCGCTCCAGCGGCTTCCGGGAGTAGCACCAGTACCAGTGCTGATCTGATGCGAAGCAGAGCACAGTGAGCAGGAACTTTACTGTTTCGTGATCTGCTTGATTCTACTACAAAAACCTTCAGAACACAAGCCACTGTTGTAAGAGCAAGATTTGCGCAAATCTTACAGGGAAATCCTTCGTTTTGGGGGGCAGAGGAAGTGCCCCCCAGTACCTTTTAATTTGGTCCTTCTGGTCAACGCAGGAAAGTTGTATATGTGGATGAGGGGTTTTAGCCTTCGGTCCGAAAAAGCCACCACTTCGTAAGGAACGTTCGTTGCCACGACGCCCACAATTCCATTAATACACTGGAGCACGGTCTTCTGCTTGGTTTCAATATTGATAAATATAACATAATTTCCGGAAGGGTAGCAAATGGTGCTGTCGTTGACAAAGTGGACATTCTGCTTAGGGAATCCTTGCACCCATCTTTGGGAAAAGATATGTCACCATCAGTATAATACATTCCAGATAATTTTTCTTTACCAAAGCAAACAAAAGGCACCAAAACACACCTATTCTATTTCACTACTTTTCTGCCCCAGTCTCCAAGATAAAAAGAACACATCTGCTGGCTGCGACCAATTTGAGTCAGTGAACTACAGAAATGCAAGAGTCCAGCCAAGGGGAAGGGCCCAGCGGGCCTCCTACGCGGAAGCTTTCAGGAAGCCAACTCTGACCTACCTAACTCAGGACATGGCCACGGGGATTTCCATGGTCTTAGAGACTTGAAGACAGACGAAACAAGCTCATGAAATGAGCTTCGTTCGAAAACAGGCTTCCTCCCAGGCCTTTCTTTTATAACTAGTTTTCATTTTAAAAATAAACTTTAAAAAGCAACTTTGTGCAGGAAAACTTTGTAAAACAAATAGGAAAATTGCTTCTTTACACAGATGTATGTTGCCATAGTTTATAGACTTAAAAACATGCACAAAGCAGACCCCCCAAAAAAAGAAAGGTGGTCTCTATATGGTCAGCACCTGAAAGGCACATCCTTTTATGTAAGGAACGTGGTATGCGCCAGGACAGTCTAAATAAAGAGGCGGCAGTTTATTTACATGGTAAGTGTGATGGAAAATGGTGTGAAAGGTGAGCAGAGGGCTGGAGGAGTGACCTCAGGAGAGCAGAGCAGGGTTGCAGGAGGCTGCTCCAAGCTGCGCGCGCGCAGCCCTGCAGGCTGGGGAAGGAAATAACGACCACCTGTATCTGCAGCACTTTGCTCTTTTTCTAGCCCACTACAGACGCAAAAGGGAGTTAGAAGCCCGCGGTGGACCCGCCTCACTCAGGCGGAGTGCGGAGGTCAAACAAAAGAGAGGGCAAAAGGGCCGCCCTTGCAATGGGGAAGCGGGGCGGGGTCCCACACTGGGTCGCTGAGCCCGCCAGCAAGCGCAGCAGAGATGAGGGCGGGGCAGAGGACCCTGGGGAAGTGCGCTAGAGTCGGGTCGCGGGAAAGCGGCCAGAGGGCAGTCGCTGAGTCACAGGATGGAGGGAGTCTGCGGAAACGGTTTTGGTCGCGGGGAAGACCGCCCGCCCACGGATCGGTGGAAGCGGAGGCTAAGGAGAGCGGGGGTCCCCGGCTCCCCAAGACCGAGGTCAGGACCCGGGCGTGGACGCCGCACCTCACGGACAGACTCGCGCCGCCGGCGGAGTGGGCGTAGTAGGTGTCCTCTCGCTCCCGGCCCTGCTCCATTGGCGGCCTCGCTCTCTGCGGGCGCCGCAGCCAACGCCAGGCCCAGGGTGGTTACGCGCCGGCCTTCTTTGTTTACACTCGTATCCAGGATACCGCAATCCTTGCGCCCATTGGTTCCGGCCTTTGGTCAGCTCTAGCTAGCGCCTAGTGGATTGGTGGAACTGTCGGGCTTCTCGGCCAATAGGAGAGCTGAAAGCAAAGCTGTGGGCGGGCCCCTCCGCGAGGTCCATCCCAGAGTACTTTATAGTCACTGAACGTCAGAGGCGCTAACGGTCTGGAGTGCTGGCCAGGCTGAGCTTGTGCCAAGCATGGTGCAGGCGGTATTTCATCTTCACGTACCCTATTTCCTCCAAGAAAGTGAAGTGGAGAAGCACCTTGCTTCTCTGAAGTCCAGAGCTCTAGGTCTCTGCTAGTTGTGCGACGCTGCAAGCAAGCATACTCTGCAGCATCAGGGAAGCATCCCGCATCAGGGATCACCCGTCCTCTGACCTCCGTGCTTGCCTGCTCGGCCCCTCCCGCCTCAACTCTTCCTTGTTTTCCCTCCTTCAGCTCTTCTTCCTGTCTTTCAACCTTAATGTAAAACAACGAATGAGAGATTATCCAAAGAAAATTATATTTATTTGGGAATAGCAAAGCGGAACTATACTTGCTGTAATATGGGGAAGTTGAAAGGAGAACAGAAGATGGAACTTTAAAACTAGGAGAGTTATAGCTGATATTCTGAAACACTACTCTCCGGCCACTGTGGTGGGCAAGGACAGTGGCATCTGTCAGAACCTGACCCGACAGTCTTGGGCAGGGTGCCTGTAGACGTACTTGTTGTATAAAGTCATGGACGGCTTCTGTACAGGGCCGTCGTCTGGCAGAGTCCTTGGTGGTAGTAGAAAGCTATCCGTTAGGGCTTAAGCAAGGTGTCTTCTGAAGTCTATTGAGGTGCGATGACTGGAGGGAAGGTCAGGGCTAGAGAAGGACAGAGACCTGTGCCCGTGTCCAGCAATGGTTGGACTGTTTTCCCCTCCTCTGTAGTCACGGTTACTCAGGGCCCTCGGCAGAGATGACAGGCCGAGATAGCATCAGGCCAGAGGGAGGAGGCAGGCCCTTCAGCGCCTCAGACCTGCTGGCCCACCTGGGAAGCCGGGTCTGCGCGCTGGGGCCTCCGCCTCAGACTGAGGTCTCACTTTCTGTGGCTGCCTTGGCAGTCAGGGCGAGGCTTGTGGGCCTCTTCAGGCAGCCCCTCTTGTGCTGGCCTGGCTTCTGACAGTGATAGCACATGAACTTGGGCATCAAGTTTTTCTTGGAGCCCAGAAAAGTCAGACTTCGGATCTGTTTGAGGCTGCAACAAATGCAGCCATTTTTGATCTCTTTGTTTTCTCTCCCCGGTTTGCTCCCAGTCCTGATTATAGGACACTAAGGAAGTTTTTACTGAAGTATCAAGTGAGTTATCTGGAGCAAAAGCTGTTTTTTGTAGCTCTTTTCTAACATCTAGATCTGACTGAGTAATGAACTTATCTGTAAGAATAATCTGTTCCTCTATTAAACATTCTAAGAGGGCTGGAGAGATGGCTCAGTGGTCTAAAGCACCTACTTGGAACAAGCTTGGCAAAGCACAGGGACCGCGGTTCAATCCCCCAGCACCACATGCCAGCCAGCCGTGCCCCCTGGTGGGCTGAGCTGGACACACACACACACACACACACACACACACACACACACACATACACACACACTAAATGAATAAATAAATAAAATTTTAAACATTCTAAGAAAGCTGAGTGGTGTTCATCTTTCTCCTGATAAATAGCTAAAATTTAAAATAACTAGAAGGCTTATTTCAGTTCTTCTTAGACCTTCAAGAATACACACTAGAAAATGTTTTTGTATTCCAATCACCTTCCTGGTTTTAGACCAACAGGCATCTGACAGCTTGGGCTCCAGTAGGAACTGGCTGTCTTTCAGCTGTTTAAAATTAACAATATTGGGGGGTCCGCCCATTAGCTCAGTTGTTTAAGTGCCTGCTTAAACGAGGCAGTCAGTCTCTGGGAGCGGTGGTTTGATTCCCAGATACTCAAGGCAACCCAGACCAGCGCTGGAGGCAATCTGGAGCTGCAAAAAAACCCAACCCTTCTGCATTTTTAGGGGCTGGGGAGATGGCTCAGTGGAATAAGTGCTTCCCTGGCAAGCGCAAGGGCCCAAGTTCAATCCCCGGTTCTGGAAAAAAAAAATTAACAATATGATATTTATCTCCAAATGCAATAGCAGCTTGTAATGCTGCCTGCCTTTTCATAGAAGTCAAAGCTTGGTTTAAGATTAACATTACATCTTTCCAATCTAGTTCATAATGTTGGGTAAATCCTCTAAAGACATCAATGTACTGGTCAGGATCATCTAAAGATTTTCTAAGATCTGACTTTATCTGTTTTAGGTCACAGAGAAAAAGGCAAATGAACTCTGGAAGTTCCAAATTGTCTTTTTCCTTCTTTCAAGGGCACTGTCCTTGAGGAGCTTGCATAAATTCAGCCAAGGGTGGGTGCAGCCCTGTAGACGGCTGGACTGCAGCTGGCCTAGAAGCCCTGTCCTCCACAAAGCAAACAGGGAAAACCTTACTTTCAGTAATGGTGGGTGAGGCTGTGACTAAGGCTGTCTTGTCTTAACCTTAGGCTCCACCGGTGAGGAGGCAGTGCTATCCACTCCGGGAGAGTGGATGCTGAGGCGCCTGAGCTCCCCAGTTCTGTTGCTCACATCTACATTACAAAACTAGGTAACAATAACTTTCTTAATGCAAACAAAATCTGAACCTAAGGCATTTTTACCATTTTCCTTTTTTTCAATATCTTTCTAGTTGTAAAATAGTGTCATAATTGATACTTCCACCTGTATTCCATTAGATTGAATGGTTCTTCTTCAGTGCATAAGGACCAAATGTCTTCCAGTGCCTAAGGAAGCACTCTAAAGAACTAAGAGATTTTGACTGTGAGATAACCTGGAATTCAACAGAAATTACTTTAGGGCATCCCCACCTTATTTCTAATTGACTCCTCTACCAAGGTGTCCCTTGAGTAGACCTCTCCTGAGCAAGTGGATGCTCCTGTTGGAGAGAAGGGAGACAAGACCCGCCCTCCTACCTGCCTTTGTGAGATTCCCATCTCCTGAAGCCATCTTACAAACCCTGCACTCACTCTTATTGAATATTTGTAAGTGTAAGTTGCAATTGGTCTGTGTCATGGGTTGAAATAAATGTGGCTCTTGTTATTTTTTAATTGGGCAAAGCTGGCAGGGACCTCTAGCTCTTTGTGCGTCACTTCCTGGCTCAAGTGCAGATGCTTCAGTCTGCTAGTGTTGTACACAGTTGACGTGTTTCCATCCTAACCGCATCTTGTAAAGGGCCCCATCTAGGGCAAGTTCTGCTTATCACTAAAAACTGTGAAAGCCTCCTAGTTGTAAACAGCTGCAGCTGTGTCAGCAAGGCTTGCTATGAAGGACTGAGCTCAGCTCTGCTGGGGGCGGCTGGTCAGTGCCTCCCTGTGTGGAGTGCGGCTGGTTAGCCACCAGACCGGCTAATAAAGGCTCGCCAAATTCCAATCTGTTCTGGTCTTGGTCTTGATTCGATTCGAACCCAGTATAGTCTGGTAACGGGAATGTCTACCGTGGGAAGCATAACTATTGCATAACAGGATGAGTTGGAAGCAGAGCACTTTTCAGGCTACAAAGATCACTTCTAGAGACAGATAGAATAATTGACTGGAGGAATTTGGCTCCACGCACTGAGCCAAGTCTCTAGACACTTATGTTTTCCATCTAATAATCTAAACATTTTTAGCAACTGGACAAGATTTGAAATTGAAGCTCACGGGTGAAACTTATTGTCTAGTAATCACATTCTACACGTTGGTAAAAACACCCTATGATGACAGAAATCTCTTTCTTACTCTTAGGTGTCATGTAAGGCACAGATGTAAATCATTCCCGATAGCCACTCTAGCATGTAAACTATTGCAAGCTGCCTCAGCCTAATTTTTGAAGTAGTGGCTAATTAAGTGGTTCTACTGAAAATCTTAGGGAGAATTCCTAGTTTACTAGCAGAGACAGAAAAGTACAGTAGGTAAGTGGAGCTCTTTCAGTGGTCAGGAGCCAGTTTCCACTGAGCCCCTTTGGTCATCCATCAGAGAGCACCCCTGGCTGTGACAGGCGCTCTCAGTTTCTACTGGCTCACACAACCAGAGATCAGTCTCCAAGAAAGGAATCGAGCTGCCTCTCTGGTCACATTCCATTAGCCACTGGCTTCAATAGGGAGCCACCAAGGAAATACTGAAGAAACTTGTCCTCTGCTTCAAAGCGTGGCAGCTGCTCCAGGAGCATGTACTAGCTAGCACAGTAGCCCCTGTTTCTCACAGTTCTATAAGGGGTGGTTAAAAGCCTGAACAAGATACCTAGCACTTTACAGTAAAGATTTTAAAGTCTACCACCTAACTCTTATGCACCCAACTGATAACTAGACCTAAGAGAAAAGTTGAGATCTCCCCTTACACTCAATGTGTTTTGGTCCCATAAGTGTGCTGCTTTTGGAGCTAGCTCCTTCTGGTGTCACCCAGAAGTTGGTTCTCTCCACTGTGTTTAAGGTAGTCTCCTGAAGGAGAGCTGCCCAGAACACTAAGCTGGGATGTGGCTTTTACATATGTCCTCCTGGACGGACATAGTTCCTCTTTGTCTCCTCTGACCCAGAGACAGGGTATATGTCCTTCCTCTAAAATGACTTCCCTGTGTTTGGTGTTAACAAACACTCATTTTTTAAGGGTTTCACTAAGTTGAAACAGTCTAGAGTTTTCCTAATTTTACATGCCTCTAAAAAGGAAAGTACAAAGGGGTAGGGAAAATTAGGAGTAAAATCAAAGAAAGGAATCTGAAACAGAGCAGACCTGACATTTCCTCTAGCATGTAGAGGGGGAGTAGAGCCAGTCTGTCCCAGTAAAACCTGTCCTCCAAGTCTTTAAGAATGGTTGCCAACCTAATGTCGTTAGTTGGCAAAAGGAGTCCCATGTTTCATATACAGGCATGTAGATTTTCTAAGTCTGAGCTAGATTTAAAAACTCCCATTTTACAGAATTTTACATAAAGTCCACTAGGAAGACCCAGTCCTAGCCCAGGTCCGGTG